CGGTTATGAAGAAACAACCCAGAGCAGTGTGTGCCGTGTTTAGAAACACTCCTATTCAGCAGCTTTTAACAGCATTTGATTTGTATTCTCTCCGCGGATGGTTTTACTGAAGTACATGATGCATCTGCTGTCAGCATTCAGAGGAAAGCGCTGGTGTTTGAGGCTGAAGTTAGTCTCCAGGAAGGAAACGCTGCTTTGAAGCCTTCGGCCACCAGAAGTTATTAACAATGATTGATTGTTTGTGAGCGGAAGTTCAGGGAACGAGCTGAAGGAGAACCGGAAAATCCCCTTACACTGAAATAACGCCGTCAGAAACAGTGGGGTTTTGTGCTCCTGTAAGGAAAAATAAAATATTAATGTCTCAGTTGTTTCCCCTAAAGCTGATCTACGCTCTCATTTGCCCATATTTTGATATGTATTTATGTATTAATTGAATGTCAAAGAATCAAATAAATTATACAAAATACAGTATATACTTGTTTTACAGTATATATATATATATATATATATAGTATGTATTTATAGTGTTTATCTACTTATATACTATGCTGCTATATACAGTATATACAATATATATATCATTTAAGGAATTTTTTTTTCCTCATTAATGTACACACAGCACCCCATATTGACAGAAAAACACAGAATTGTTGACATTTTTGCAGATTTATTAAAAAAGAAAAACTGAAATATCACATGGTCCTAAGTATTCAGACCCTTTGCTCAGTATTTAGTAGAAGCACCCTTTTGATCTAATACAGCCATGAGTCTTTTTGGGAAAGATGCAACAAGCTTTTCACACCTGGATTTGGGGATCCTCTGCCATTCCTCCTTGCAGATCCTCTCCAGTTCTGTCAGGTTGGATGGTAAACGTTGGTGGACAGCCATTTTTAGGTCTCTCCAGAGATGCTCAATTGGGTTTAAGTCAGGGCTCTGGCTGGGCCATTCAAGAACAGTCACAGAGTTGTTGTGAAGCCACTCCTTCGTTATTTTAGCTGTGTGCTTAGGGTCATTGTCTTGTTGGAAGGTAAACCTTAGGCCCAGTCTGAGGTCCTGAGCACTCTGGAGAAGGTTTTCGTCCAGGATATCCCTGTACTTGGCCGCATTCATCTTTCCCTCGATTGCAACCAGTCGTCCTGTCCCTGCAGCTGAAAAACACCCCCACAGCATGATGCTGCCACCACCATGCTTCACTGTTGGGACAGGTGATGAGCAGTGCCTGGTTTTCTCCACACATACCACTTAGAATTAAGGCCAAAAAGTTCTATCTGGATCTCATCAGACCAGAGAATCTTATTCAGGTGTTTTTTAGCAAACTCCATGCAGGCTTTCATGTGTCTTGCACTGAGGAGAGGCTTCCGTCGGGCCACTCTGCCATAAAGCCCCGACTGGTGGAGGGCTGCAGTGATGGTTGACTTTCTACAACTTTCTCCCATCTCCCAACTGCATCTCTGGAGCTCAGCCACAGTGATCTTTGGGTTCTTCTTTACCTCTCTCACCAAGGCTCTTCGCCCCCGATAGCTCAGTTTGGCCGGACAGCCAGCTCTAGGAAGGGTTCTGGTCATCCCAAACGTCTTCCATTTAAGGAATGGAGGCCACTGTGCTCTTCGGAACCTTAAGTGCAGCAGA